GGAGGATTCGCTACCGATCTTGGTGAGGGAAACGGACGGAACGACGAGATCTGAGAGACTATCCAAGAACGGTAAGGTTGTTACCGAACCTCTTTTCGACGCTCGAAACTCATCGTGTGACTAAGCAAAAATCAAGAAAATAATATTGGCACGTAGGTTGATAGATGATCTATAACTTTGTTGAAGAAACCACCTCTGTTTGGGTTAAGAATCGAAAGATAGAAAATGGAAAGAAACCTCGGAAAAACTAATCGGAAGCCTTGATTTTCTGGTAGGAGGAGAGAGAAGCCGCCGGCGTGCCACGCGTCAACCAACCAGAGGGCCGCGTGCGCCAATCGCCCCCGGACACGCGTCGAGCGCCGCCTGGGAAAACGCGGCTCCAGCGCTCCTGCGACACGCGTCCCTGGCTCCGCGACCCGACCCGCGCTCCTTGGCTGACCCGATACCCGCACGGCGAACCGAATCCAGTTGACGACCCGCGGTCCACCCGAATCACCGCTTCCGACCCGAACCCGCGACCCGCGACTGCAGGAATTTCTGGGCGCGTGACACTCGCGCGTGGAACCCGCGAGTGGCTGCTCCCCAGCGCGTGACTGGCGCGTGGAGGCGCGTGTAAGCTGTTTTTGGCCCGATCGGCTTCTGTTTTCTCTAGTTTCCCCTGATTCATATCCTAACTCCATTTGTTTGTATGAAATAGGACCTTATTGAGGAAAAATCACCCCCTCTCGTTACGCCAAGTGTGTGGAAACGCTGCGTAAGGGCACGTAGCATCCAAGTAAGTCGCCACACGGAATTTAGGAAGTAATACTTGTAGGAACCGCTTGGGATGCATGCATGCTAGTCTGAATATTTTAGGTTGTAGCTTTCCCGTAAATGTTCGTAGGAAATAGTTTATTGAACGTAAGATGTATGCTGTGATTTGTTATGAGAGTTACTTGGATACTGCTTATATGCTCTTAATTCCCACTTTATTTTATGCATATGTATATCTTTTTGCTGAATGGAGAATGGAAAATTTGCGAACTCTGTGCTCCGGGAATTGATGGATGTTATCACCCCGTCGAGCTTGTATGATTACTTTGCATGAAATATGTTTGAGGTTTTTGGATAATAGTTATGTACGTACTCGGTTATTTTTAGGGCCACCTTTATGAATAAGACTAGAAGACAATGGTTAGAGCGACAAACCATCAAGGGATCGACTTAACCTTTCCCTATTAGTTTATCAGACCATCACGGCACATGAAACATCCTTAGAGTACCCTTAAGCTACTTGTGTGTGGATGGTGATATAGCTTCGTGGGGGACCAGCGGGTTCCTGATCAGGACTCGACTGCTCGATAGCCGTTTAGTATGGGAAACGGGATACCCACGTCGTAATTGACCGTTTAGCTGGATGGAATAGGGGAGGTAGCCCTCCCAAATACAGGGGGATTATCATGGGTCTAGGGGGTTGCAGCTCACTTCCTAGGCAAGACCCCAGATAATCTCATACCCATGCCGAGGTAGCCACTCGTAAGGCACCAGTCCAACACAGGTTAGCATAAAAGGAACTCTATGGGTTTAAATAAAAGGTCTAGGAACCAAAGAGGACCAAAGGGATAAGTTCCAAGAGAGAAAGCCCTAATGAGGTAAGGCCCGATTTCAGTTGTTCTAGAGCCAAAGGAAAGCCCGTGATCGTCTGCTAAGTTTAGGGTGCGGTAAGAGCCTACAAGTAGGTGGCTTACTGAGTATAATTTTTATACTCATTCCCTTTATACTTTTTTTTTCAGGTACGTGAGGCGTCGAGTCAAGAGAGGGCGCGTCGATCGATGTGGGTTGTCACAGAGGAAGCGTGTCCCGGGGCGTCAGTCTAGTTTACTAAATAGTACACTTTGTCTCACATGTTCCTTTCCTTGTTTTTCTTTTACCTAGGCACTTATGTCCTTCTAATAAAGATATGTTTTTCTTTTGAAACAAATGATTTCCTTGAATTTCTCGTTTATGCATTACATGTCATACAATGTTAGTCACGGCTTAATTTGGGGTCGTGACAGTTATGGTCATCGAGTATGAAGGTTAGAATTCATGAAATAACTCATGAAACATTAAGAGTCAGGGCATTTTTGCTGACCTTTAGTCGATGACTAAATTTTCTTGTAATTCTATTTAGTTTAGATTGCATGTTTAGACTCGTTCAAGTTTGTCATGATCAATCTTGCTTGTGAGTGATTCGAATCTCAAACAAGTATTTTTACCTTGAGCTCTTTGATCAATCAGAAAAGGCGTAAGAAACATGGTCATTATAAAGGGTACCCTTAAAAACTAAGGGCCACTTATCCCCACCAAACCAACTCACTTGATTGCAGAGATCAACTTCAGTTGTAACATAAACTTCCTTTGAACAAAGCTGATTCAAGCTTCAATTCTTAAACACATCATTTAAAACAAACCCAGAAAAAGAAAAAGATCAATTGATGAAGCAATGAAAACACTTCTATTCATTAAGTGAACTGATATGTTTAAGAAACGAACCACCTGATATCGCTAAGTACAACGTAGATTCGAGCAAAAAACGCTTCAACTTTACCCAACAATGAATTACACAATGTTCAAATGGATATCTAATTGTAAACTAATAGTAGCAAAGTTTACTAGGATTCAAGAGGTTCATGTAACAGTTTCAATACACCAACATTCTAATGAACTCAGAAGGGTTAAAATAGATACTCACACTTTCAACTTTTATAATATACAAGTGAGGGATACTATCTCCGCACAAAACAGAGCTAAGGATGTATCACATGCCCGCATCATCACCCGTCGTCCCTCGAGCTTCAAAAAATAAGACTCAGCTGGGTCCAACCTGATTACACAAGAAGCAGCAGGTTCTTGGATTATGAACCTGAGCTTGACATCAGAACAACTGCAAACAGAAAAATCTAAGGGCATTATGTTCGGTTCGAGCGACACGACGATGAACTGATTATTGGATATGATAGAACAGAAGTCTCATGTGGGGGAACTTGACAGACAAAAGATGAACTCCCTATGTCCCTCTATTTACCACCATTAAAGGGATGGGCCACTCTACCTATTTGAACTTCTGGATTTGGTCATGCGTTTCATATTATAATGACAGCCAAACCAACTAAACAGATAAGGATATTAGAAAGAACTATATAGAAACAAGAACTAAGATAACATTATCCGGAGTTTCAGATCAAACCCATAACATTTAAACCAATTTCCACAAGAATTAGAACAGAACAGGAAGAAAAAACAAGCTCAATCATCCCCAGTAGGAAATAAGGTGAGGACTTTTCTTCCTCCACTGGCATTGCCTGATTCCAAATCCTCAATGTAATTTGGAACTGAACTATGCACTGGTGCCCCCATTCTATGGATAGGTTGGGACTGTCTACCTAAAAATGGATGCTCAAATTGGCCGTTTGATGGTGACCCAAACTGCCCACGATGATAGGGGGGCTGGAGCTGAGGGTGGGCGACGACAGATGCTGCGGCCATCTGCTGCAGGTGGTGGTGGTGCTGCTGTAGAGTGGCCATGGGAACAAAGGGCATGAAGTGGTCTGAACTAGCACGAGCGGAGTGAAGCAAATGGGGTGGAACAGGGGAGCTAGCGAACAAATGGTCGGTGGCGGGATCAGAGGAAGCAACCAAGCCAGCTGCGGCGGCGGCGCCGCCACCACTGGATAAACCCTGCATACGCTTGAGATAGAGGCGGTACTTCTGCAAATGGCTAGCTACGTTCTCTCTGGTTAAGCCATCAACACTCATGAGCTGCATTATGGTCTTAGGGACAGCATTTTTGATCCCCAAATGGGCAACAGCGTCAACGAATCGCTTGTGGAGCTGTGGAGTCCAGACTAAGCGTGGCCGCTTGAGGGTCCGGGCTGGTTCGTCGCTACCAGCGCCAGAGCCTAAATCAGCGGAATCGCCGAAATCCCCCGAGTTGGGCAGCGGAATTCCGTTGCCGGAGCCGGGTAGGGGATTCGAAAGCGGCGGAGATGGGCAAGGCAACGGCGGACTGCAATTGGTGGGATTTTGAATATCGAAAGCTAAAGCTAGATCGGGGGTTATTAGGGTTTGAGAAAGAGGCATGAGTTCATCTGGAGATGGAAGCTCCTCTTCCCATCTCGAGAACCAATTCGAATGCTCTTCCCTCATTCTTCCCCAAATCTAGGCCCGACCCAGTTCACTGTTCTTCCTCCTGGTCAACAGTTCAAAGACCCTCTTCAAGAACACCACAAAAAAACAGCAAAAACTGAAGAAACCAAAGAGAACCCAGATCAATTAACTGGATTAGCAACAGTAATCAACCAAAATAAACAAAACCCAGAAACAAAAATCACCGGAATCGGAAGAACAGATAGAAACAGAGAAAAACAGAGAAAAAGGGGAGATGGGGAAGGATGATTATGAAGATTAAGATGAAAGGGATGAAGAAGAGGCGATGATTATGAAGGGGGTGGCCAAAAAGGTCGAAGACGAAGAGAGGTTCGAGGTGGATCTTGTTTTGTTGTAGCTTTAATTTTCGCTCTCTCTCATTCTCATAGTTTATCTCTCACTAGGGACCGGGGGAGGCGTGGAGGTACTGTTGCTGATGCTCTCTTGGCCCTCTTCCTTATTTCTCCTACTTGTTTGTTTGTTTGTTTCTTATGATTTTTTTTTTTTTAATTTAATTTAATTTAAATTAATTTTGTTATATTTTATTTTGTGAAGAGAATTATTTTCCAGGATTTATGGGTCTCATTAATAATACCTGAAAGTGAGTGTTGTAAAGATCGATAAGATTTTGTTCCCCATCATCAATTCTCTAGCGCGTGTCACGCACGCTCCATTAAAAAAAAAAAAAAAAAAAAAAAATAT